ACACCTTACGAAAATTTCTGCTTTGTTGGGATGCCCTTGGAGTTGAAAAATGTTGGAGTCACCTACCAACGCCTCATCAATACTGTATTCAAGAAGCAAATAGAACCTCAATCCGCTAAGGGAAATTCCTCGTGTACATGATCACTAGGAGGGGGATCGAAGTCGACCCAAAATAGATGGACGCCATCCCCCAGTTGAAGTCCCCGCGCAATGCATATGAGGTCCAGTCGTTAGCAGGAAAAATTGCAGTGTTGGGAACGTTCATTCCCATATTCGCCAACCGATGCACGGTGTTCTTCCAAACACACAAGGTAGGGGAAAAATTCAAAATGGGATGCTGCTTGTGAAAAAGCTTTCGAATAGCTCAAAATGTACCTTGTATTCCCACCGGTGTTGGTAGCACCTAAATCAAATGAAATATTGTATCTTTATCTCGTGGGGTGGTACACGCAGTCAGCGAGGTACTAATATCCATATCGAAAGGAAATGAGGAAAGAGTGGTGTACTACATGTCCTGCACACTATCTAATCTTGAGGCGTGATACTCCCCCATCGAAAAAGGTAGCACGCTAGTATTCACATCCCAAATGTTGCGGCCATATTTCCAAAAACACCCGATCATTGTCCTCGCCAATATGCCTCTCCAGAAAATTTTGAGTTCAATGGAAGTCTCAAGGCGAGTAGTGAAGTGGGCGGTGGAACTCTCTGAATATGACATCAAATATTCACCGCGCCTAACAATAAAAGGACAAGTCCTCGAACCCGCACTTGAGGGAATATGGGAAATTCTTGTAGACGGGGCATCAAACAAACACGGCGAGGGAGTCGGAGTAGTGGTTCATACCCCACTTGATGAAATATATGAGATAGCTATCCAGTTTTGTGCGCTGAAGAAAAATAATGTGATGGAACACGAGGTCGTGCTATCCAGATTATGTGACGCCATTGATTTAGGAGCAAAAGCAATAAGAGTACTGTCAGATTCCGCTTTACGAAACCGGTGTATGGTATTTTGAGAACTGACTGAAGGATTATGTTGGAAATAACTCGATGATTTGGTATCCAAATGAGGAACCGTCGGCTCCTATGGAATCGTGCGAACAAGAAGAATTTAATGGGAGTGAGTCATGGAATTTTTAGAGCATAATCAGAGTCGGCTTCGATGGATTCGAGGTGAGTGTAAAGGGGGTAAAATCTCCATCGAGGTCTTTTAGTTTGTCTTTTAATTCAGTTATATTTGTTATTTTCAAGTAAGCGCGATTATGTGTGGAGGCACCCCACCGCCTACTTAAGGTGGAGGCACGCGTTGTGCTATGTATGTGAATGCGTATGAATTATGGTAACTGAACCTCCGGGCGCTTGGCCACTACTGGACGCGGTAGATGGTCGGATCAATGCTGGACGGCAAGACGTAACGCAGCCGTTGATCAAGTATGTTGGGGTCACTATTGGACGGCGAGACGTAACGCAGTAGTTGAGCGGGCATGGACTGGACGGCGAGACGTAACGCAGTGCCATTGCCAAGTTTGTGTATGAAACCGGACGGCGAGACGTAACGCGGTTGGCATACTTAGGTAGGGACACCGGACGACGAGATGTAACGTGGTGGTTCCGAGTATTTATGTGTATGAGTTAAGAATATAAGTCGAGAAACTACTATGAGTTAATGTTAAAATGAGTTATTAAGGATGAAAGCGAGAACGACTTTCATCTAAGTAAAGGAAACGCTAATAACATGTTTTGGTAAGGAGTTTGCTTAGGGAAAAGACCTTAGGAAGTAACGACGAGACTGACCCCTTCTCACTCACCAGGTTGAGGAAGGGTTAGCGTCCGTGGTTTTCGAGAAGAGGTAGGACGAGCCGAGCATTGACTGTGATTTGAGGTCGCCCACGTGTTTAGAGCATTGCATTTGATGTTTTTCTTGGAAATGATTAAGTCGTATTTGACTTCTTGAGGTGGTTTTAAATCGGCTCCGGAGCCATGGTTATTTCGGTTTGGTTAAAAATACTGGGACATTACTGGTGGTGTGTTGTGCTCACTAGGTAATAGTTGCATGATTAGAGTACCGATGTATGAGGGATTTTATTATCTTCTTCCTATTTTGTGGTTGATAATATTTGCTATTTTAGGAAGAACATGTGTGCGGGATTCCCTTTTAGGTTAGAACTAGAAAATTTCACAAATTTGTGCTTAATGTTATAAAATGAGGCTCACGTGAGAGGAAACCGATTCTCACGGATTCGGAGTGCCCTTTGAGGATTTGATTGGATCTTTCACTACTTACTATCCCCCAAATATCGTTCCTCCTCACGGAATCGTATGCCAAGGTCCAAAGTACCTTTTAGCAATTCATGAGACCTCATAGCTCTCGTTTGTACCCAACATGTGTGGCAACCCAATGTGGAGTGTAGGCTGGGAAGTGGTGCTCGGGCTAAGAAGAATCCTCCCATAAAGTTCCACACATGTGACTTTGAAAGAGAAGGCTATATATCATCCGCTCTTGTTCATCAGGGTGAGATGCTATTGCAAAAGAATTTGCAAAATATTGGTGCAATGTGCATGAATGAGGAAAAAGGAGATTAATTAATGACAACTCCTACTTTGAAAGAAACAATAAAGAGCATCTTCGAGAGTTCTAGTGTTTGTTCGTTGTCTGAGAATCCCCCGGAGCTCACCTTGTATGTTCGGCCCAAGGTAGTAAGTATGTTCCTCGCCCAAGAGTTTGTGCTTGCATAGTAGGGAGAGATGCTATTATGCAATGAAAGAAATTGCAAGAGTTCGAAGCAAAGGGCATGAATGGAGAAAAAGAAGACCGAAAGATGACAACTCCTACATTAAAAGAAAGAATAAAAGCACCACTTATAGTTCTATTAGTCGTTTGTTGTCGGAGAATCCCCCGGAGCACATTTTGAATGGTCGGCCTAAGGTAGTAAATATGGTCCTTACACGTGAGTTTGTGCTTGCACAGTAGGAAGGTCGTAGCGTCCATTCATCCCTGTATACTTTTATCTATGCAAGGAAGAACTAGCATGCATGCCTCGTTGATTAGTATATCATATTGCATTAGGTGTGACTAGGTTTGCTTGAGGACAAGCAAACGGCTAAGTGTGGGGGAGTTTGATAACACCAAAATTGGTGTTATTTACCTTCCATCTTAGGGTATGTTTTGTGTCAATTCATGTGCTTAAGCATTTAAAAATTGTCAAATACATCCCTATTTATTTCCTATTTGATTTTGATGTAATTATAGGGTGTATTAGTCAATATATAAAAATTCGGTACAAAGCAAGGTCACAAGTGTAGAAAAGGGGCAAGGATCAAGATCGTGGCTTAGAAGCCAAAGATCACGGCCGGATCTCCAGTCGTGAAGTCTCGCTGAAGATCGCGGCTAGAAGCCAAAGATTGCGACCGCGATCTTAGAGCCCCAAGGCGCGAACTTCTCGAGGAAGGAGCCATGGATGAGTAGAGAATTTCCTCAGTCGAATCACGGTCGTGACTCAAGGATCGCGACCGGGAAGTCAGGTCGCGATCTCCCCCGCCCTTAAGGCCTCAATGAAAACGTTTTGAGATCACGACCTAGTGACCAAAGATCACGGTTGCGAACTCCCTGCCTCAGGCCGCGAACTTCCACGAAGCCAAGTTGCCTATAAATAAAAGTCCCCTCCCCCCTTTTCAAGTGAGTTCATTTTGGGTGAAATTTCTAGTTCTAAAGAGCGAAAGAGAGAGAAACTGAAGGGAGAAGAAGAGAAGGAGAAGAAGGAGGAGTTAGGAGTAAGGAGGCATCTTCTACCCCAAGTCTTCTTCTATTTCTACCATGTATCTTATTCCCTCCTTTATGGAGTAGTCCTCTAAGGTACTAGGGGTTCTAAACCCCAAACCCTAGTTTTATGGTTTATTATGTACGTATGGATATTTTAGGGTTTGAATGAATGAATGTGTTTGTTAAGTAGATTCTTAATGTCATTCTTTCCTAAATGATGACGCTTGGGTAAGTCTCCCTAATATTCCCTCTTATCCTACTTTATGCTATCGCGTTGTGTAAGGAGTTCTAGGGTTAGATGGTTATGCGTTGGCTGGTGAGTTTAGCTTAGATATGTTAATGGGGGGCCTATAGTGGTCGAGGCAACTAAACCCCCGCTATAGGTAGCCTTCCTTGATGGAACCTGGGATGAAACCTCGAGGTGGACGGTGGATGGTGTCCATGGACGGAGAACCTTGATGGTTTGTTTTATTTTGCGTTGTTGTTTTTGTTTTTATGTGTTATTTTTCGCGTTTGTTTCTTTTGTGAATTGTTTTCAACCACTCTTCTTCCCGAAGATTGGCTTGTATGTTTTTTATTGTCTTTGTAGTGTTTTTGTTGTTTGTAGTTTGTGAATAATGGATACATATGGCTGGAAAGAGGAGTGGGGAGATCACCAACCGCCGAATTAGTGGTATCTCAAAGCTTCTAGTAGCGGCGCTAGCCAAGGATCCCGGTTTCAAGCGTAACCACCTCGCCATGCCTATTAACCGTACCTCCATGATTACCAAGCATCTCACCCATCGTACCAAGAACTACCTCCACAACATGTGGTCAAGACCAAGTGGGAGATGGTCATTGATGGACTTGAGGCATATACGCTATATCTAGATGGCCTTGAGAAAATGTTACACCCCGCTCTTCCCAAAAGTAAAAATGACTAACATACCCTTGGGTCACGTCCCACCGTATTATCGATGAGGATTAAAAATGTGAACTAATTGTTTAAACGATGTCGAGTTTCGACATGAAGTGAGACAATTATGGACGTTAATTGAGTTTCAGATTAAACTCACCCGTTGAAATTCTCAAAATACCCTTGAACCACTTAAACCCTAAACCCGTTACACCCGTTACCCTCCCTCCCTCTCATGGCTCGGCAACATTCTTCTTCTTTCTCCACCACTCGCTTGCAAGAGAGAGACGCTTCTTGTTTATCACTCTAACCCTGAAGTGAGCAATCGGGACGACTCTCGCCCCATGCGAGTTCCGGCCGATGGAGTGAACGCCGGCAAGAAGTGAGCCCACCGGGAGGAGGACAAAGCAGAAAGTTATAATTTCATAATGGGGAATAAGATCGAGCGCACGACGCAGGTCTCCGCTTCCGAGTACTACCTCCACGATTTACCTTCTTCCTATAATTTGGTTCTAAAGGAAGTCCTTCGCCGAGGCCGCATCTTCAAGACCGTGCTCTGCAAGCACGACGAAGGCTTGGTCCTCGTCAAGGTCTATTTCAAGCGCGGCGACTCTATCGATCTGAGGGAGTACGAGCGCCGCCTCGCCTTCATCAAGGACACCTTCCGCTCCCTCGATCATCCTCACGTCTGGCCTTTCCAGTTTTGGCAAGAAACGGACAAGGCAGCTTATCTTCTAAGACAATGTTTCTTCAACAATCTGCGTGATCGACTCAGTACTCGGCCATTCCTCAGTCTTGTGGAGAAAAAAATGGTTGGCATTTCAGTTACTTCTAGCTGTAAAACAGTGCCATGAAAAGGGTATATGTCATGGTGATATAAAATGCTCTGCTATCTTGCACCCGAGAGGTTCTGTGAGCATGGAGGTGAGGTGCAAGTTGGTCAAGATGCACAATTAAGGCCTTCCATGGACATATTTTCCGTAGGTTGTGTAATTGCAAAGCTTTTCCTCGAAGGCCCACAATTATTTGAACTCTCTTAGCTTCTGGCTTACCGCAGAGGACAATATGATCCTAGCCAACATCTTGAAAAGATCCCAGATGCTGGAATCCGCAAGTTGATGATGCGATCAGCTAATGCAGAAACTGTAGTAGGGTTGTGTAATGAAACTGCAAATGCAATCACCGAGGACGCGACTCCAACAAAATTTGGTGAGCTTGTGCCTGAAAGCCAACAACTTGTAAAGGGCAATGGTGAGATGAAGCGCGGTTCGGTTCATGATAGGATTAGGGTACCTGTTTCATATGAGGATTTGATTCAGGATGAACCAGAGGACAGTTGCTCATAGCTTCTTTGGCGTGGAATGGTGATCCAATAAGAGAAGGGGAGACATGTGTAATCTCCTCTAACACCGATAGAGGATAATCGACTGATAAGTAAGGTGAGTGTAAAGGGGGTAAATTCTATGTCTTACGTATTCTTTTAAGTATTATGATTTTTAAGTATTTTAGGGAATAGGTTACCGTTGCTTGGTTATGTTTATGATTGATTATTTGTGCTTTGCTTGAGCTATGATTTGAGGTGATTTTGTAATATTTGAGGTGATATGAGGTGATTTTGTGCTATTTACCTTAAAGCGTGATGTTTGAGTTATTGTTAAAGTTTAAGAAACAAGTTCTTTTTAAGAAGTAACTCACCTTCAAGAAGGTGAAGTCGTTTTAGTGTTTTTAGTAACTAGCGTCAGTCCGTTGCCATTTGAGATTTTCAGATAGAGCAGCAGTTATGCTCTTGAGATCTTTGAGATAGAGCAGCAGTTATGCTCTAGACTTTTAAGATGAGCAGCAGTTATGCTCTCGAGAATCATGGTGAAGAGCCACCACGATAAGTTTAAGATGTTAGGGGGATGAATCGTTACGACTCCCCTAACTAAGTTTAAGTTTAAGGAAAGCCTTGATGGCTTCTCATACGTATGAGTTGGCGACCGGACTAGCTAGTGGGGGATCCCAGTGTCAGTCAAGTATTTAAGTCGAGATTTGAGCTTTAAGAATGGAGAGTAACAGTAACTCCCATACAGTTTTAAGAGAGGAATTTTAAGAGTGGAAGTACAAACAACTTCCACTAGTTAAAGTTAAGTGTTTAAGTAAAGTGACTCGCTACGACACAACACCTAACAATGGCCAAGTGTAACCAATGGAAGGGACTGCAGTATAATGACTCAAGTGATAAATATCGAATCCACGGGTCTCTAGAGTTACTATTACTCAGCTTCAGTTTATTATTTAGCAAACCAGATTAAGATGAAAGAACTAAAACTACTCTAGCAAACTATAGTTAAAGTTAATCTAATTACAGGTTGGGAACTCACTTAGGTATGATTCCCCCTAGCCACTAGCCAGACTAACGATTGATGATTTCTAACTTGTTTCACTTTCATTCACAATGCGGAGAATCCTTGACTAGACCTTGAGTCTCGACTAAAGGAACAAGGCCCTCTTGAGTCAATTGCCTAGAGGGACGTATCCTTCTCTAGAACAACCGATCAAGGCGTTCTGAACTAGATTCCCTCTATCGAATGAGGTTCTCAATCGATACAAAGCAGTGAATCAACCCTCGACTAAAGCAATCGATCCACTACTATCAATCTATGGTGCTCTATTGACCTAATCAGGTATTCCCTCTCATAGGATCAAAGCAGAATCAATAATCTCGACTAAAGCAGAATTGAATCATGAAAACATGCATAGATTGAATATGAACTCAAGATTATCAAGTCAGGGTACTCATACAATCATCCAATCAAACAAACATAGCTAGGGTTCCTCAAAACCTAAGTGAAGGGAAGTTACTCCATAGAGAAGAGAGAGACTGCAGTAAGAATCTTCAGATGATCAGTCTTCAAGTCCGGGCTTGTTCCTCGAGCTTCCAAGGCGAAGAAATCCTCCAATTCCACTCTTAGAATGCCCTCAGATCGCCCTTTCTCTCCTTGGTTCGTCCCTTGGGTGTTTGGGATCCAAAACCTAGCTCTCTCCCTCCTTTGGCTCGAATTTGCGTTAAAAAAACCTGATTCTGGGCAAAACACGGTCGAGGGCACGACCGTGCTTTGCTTTTGACCGCCCGTGTTTTGCCCCGTGTTAAAAACACGCTCGCGCACGTCGGTCAAAACACGGTCGTGCCTAAATATGGGCACGGCCGTGTTTTGATTTAGGCGCGCCTGTGTTTTTACTGCCGAACCTGTTCCCCTATATTCAATGCTTCGTTTCTCCCTCGTCCGGACTCCGAATCAGTCGCCGTTTGATCCCAGACGCTCGTAGTCTCATCCTCTTTCTTTTCATGACAAGCTTGCATGATTCTTTGTCCATAAAGTGAGGTAGAAATTCATTCTTCTTCAGGTCATGCCCGAGTTTCTTCTCCCAAATCGCCAATTGATCTCTGATTGACTTTAAACTTGCGCCTATGCTTCACTTTATGTGCTAGGACCTGAAATGTGACAAAGGAACACAACCTAGCGCAAAATAGGCCAAAGACGCAATAATTAAAGCTCAAACAATCAAGAAACAAAGGGGAAAACATGTGCAAATATCGAGTCATCATAAAGTGCTCAAGTATTAGAAGTATTAAAACGTAAGGGCGTAGACTGACCCCAACCCACTCTCCAGGCCTTAGTAAGGAAATGAGCGAGAACCTGATCGGTAGCAGCTAGCTAGAGGAGCAATTAGAGAGCAGCGAGTTTGAGAGGAAAAGTTCGAGAGCAACCAGGTAGAGGAGGGCAGTGCAAGCGTCACGGAGGATGCCTAGTTAAGATTTTCAATAGCAGCAACATTAGAGATAATTAGTTATTTACATTTATGATTATCAGTATAGACTTGAGAACAGATTGGGATTTTAAAGTTTGAGTTCAGTTTGCCCATGTGTTAGGTCTTTGCTTTGAACTACAAGTGTGTATTTTCAGTATTTTATTTATGAAAATTTTTTCGCTGCAATTTAAGAGTCGAGTATTTTATTTATCAAGGGCATTTTAGTAAAAGTAGTACCAGGTCGATTTAGGGTGTTTCAAACAATCGGCCCGATCAAAGCGGGTTGAACCTGGTGTTGACTAGTTTTGGGTCAAGTGCGAGTTGAACCCGGTGTTGAAGAGTATTGAGTCAGTAACGAGTTTTACAAGCTTGTTTTATTGAAGGGTTGGGTAAAATTTTTGTTAAAAGCTAAGCCTGCTTTTTTTCTATATGACCCAAAAGGAAAACGATCGACGCGATGAAAGCGGTCTGAACCTGATATTGACATGTTTTTGGTTAGGAACGAATTTTACATGCTTTTGTGATTGGAGTGTTGGGTGTAGATTTTGTTAAAACTCTACCCGTTTTCCATCCAAACCACACCCAAATAACAAAACAAATAGTTGAACTTGGTGTTGTTGTGTTTTGAGTCGGGAGCGAGTATTACCACTATTGTAATTGGAGGGTTGGGAATAGGGCCGCAAATGAGCAAAGATGCACACGAACAGAACGATGCTCGACTCAGGTGGAAGATTCAAGCCTAGAAGAAGAAGAAGAAGATCTTGAGCTAAAATTTGTAATCCCTCTCTCTCTCTCTCTAGAAACTCACTCTTTTCTCTTGGGTGTTGTAGATCCTAACTAATACTTGAAATATAATCGTCCGGCGATAAGACTTGAAAGACGCACTAGTTAGAAGGTACCCCAACAACCGACTTGCATTTCCTTACCTTTTGAAAATAATCCTTAAGAAACTAGATAGTCTCCAACAATCAATCATATAAATCTTGACATTGAAGGGATTCAGGTGCGATTGTTGTTGCGTTGAGCATGTATGTTAGCTTAGCCTACCCATCAAGCTACTTATGGCTAAGGTATGGCATGGCTAGTGCAATAGGATCATATAATGTATGTTTATGATTGTATATGTTTGTTTGGAGGCCTTGGTGAGATTTATTATTATGAACTTGTGGAGTTTGAATGGCGCCCACCAAGTGCTCGATGAAATGCCCAAACCACATAGAACTTGTTTTGCTTGATCCATTGCTTTTCAATTGAACTTGTTCGATTAAGATAGACCCTTAGGCGTGTGGTTACGGCTTAAGATTTAATCTCTGATGCATGATCCTTGAGTTTGAAATTTTGGCTCACTTTTAATTGTGTGCTTCGATATGCTTTTAGAGCCAAGAGTTCAAGCTTTGGTTTTTGTCTAATGAGTTGACTCTAGCCTTCGTTCAGGGTTTAGAAACCTCTTGAATGACATGTTGCCCTTGTTTTCATGCATTTAGACCTCAACCCTAGTCATTTCAACATGCATTTCTACCTATGATTCTCTAGTTTCTACATTGTAACACTTAAGTGTGGGGGTGTATAGAGTGAATCTAAGGATGGATTTTGTTGTTTAATTGATCAAGTGAGCTGCCTAATGGTTTGTTTGAACATGTTTCGTGATTTTTCTTTTCTAATGGCGATCCAACTGAGGGTGAGACTGCTAGTTCTCTTAGCTCTCAACAACGAAGAAACCGAAACCGCCATGATGAGAAGAACCACAAATTCCAAGAGAGGAACCATAACCTCAAAGCAAGGAGCAGCCACAACAAGCACAACAAAGCTACCCTTGGAGGCAACTATGAACTATGATGGAATCCTTACAAGAAAGAGCCTCCAATATGCAACTACCATATGCTCCAACTTTGAATCAAAGACACCTTGGCGTCTAGGGGCCGATTTCTATGTTTTATTTTTCTTTTCTTTTCTTTATTTCAATTAAAATAATGTTTAATTATCTCTCTATTCTCTTTTTACTTTTCGTACTTTAATTACTCTAGCACTAGTAGTACCTATATATATAACGGTCAGGTCTTCTGGAGCATACTATGCTCCTGAAGCATACCAGTTGTCTCTCTCTCTCTCTCTCTCTCTCTCTCTCTCTCTCTCTCTATATATATATATATATATATATATATATATGGCGAGTTCTATGGTACCCTGGGTGAAATCCGGGGTACCGCATACCTTGAGTATGAAAACACTATCTAGACCTTGAATTGATCGATCTTTCGGACATGATACTATACTCTAACACTTAAAGATCAAAATCTAGGTGTTAACTCTCCCAATCTTAATACTCCAAGATCAATTTAATTAGAAATAATAATCGACGGTTATGATTCATCCAAATATAGGCACAAAAAGGAATGCACCATCTTAGGGTTTATAGATTATGATTTAGATAATTATGACCTAGGGTTCACTCATTAAGGGTTAGGGTATAATATCAGACACAAAAATCCTGGTAATTCGAGGTCTAGATAGAGTTTCCATACTCGAGGTATGCGGTACCCCGGATTTCACCCGGGGTACCATAGAAGCCACCATATATATATATATATATATATATATATATATATATATATATATATATATATATATATATATATATGGCGAGTTCTATGGTACACTGGGTGAAATCTGGGGTACCGAATACCTTGAGTAAGAAAACGCTATCCAGAACTTGAATTGACTAATCTTTCGGACATGATACTATACTCTAACTCTTAAAGATCAACATCTTGGTCTTAATTATCTAAATCTTATACCCGAAGATCAATTTAATTAGAAACAATAATCGACCGTTATGATTCGTCCAAATATAGGCAAAAAAATCAATGCACCATTTTAGGGTTTATAGTTTA